TAAAAAAAAAAAAAAAGAAAAAAAGAGACTAGAAAATAAGAAAAAAGAATACGCAAGAAGTTTCAGAAAAATATTTCTTTCTCATATTTATCCTTATCTTCTTCTTTTCTTTCTTTATCTTGTACTTCTTTTCTACTTCTTTTTACTCTGATACATATGAAAAAACAAAACGTGAGTGATAGCCGAGTGATCTTCCTCGAATGTCACCTTCAACGAGGAAACTTTCCAATCGTTCGACAGGGTGCCGCCGCTTTTCTTCCTTCTTGGCCGCCACCTGCTGCTGTCACTACTACTAAATACTACTAATATTATTACTAAATACCTATTACTACTGTTGTTATTGTTGTTGTTCGTTTGTAGCGAGAAAGTGGAAAAGGCCAAAGGTAGTGACACCGTGAAGAGATTGGTGGTGTTGTTAAAAGCACCGCGAATAGTAGTAGTAGTACCTTTGTGAAGCGTAACGAAAGGTGCGTAAGAAGGAGAGAGAAAGATAGAGTACAACGTGGCCTTTTACCCCTCCCTCTTCTATTACTACTCGTTGACACACGCATACACACGCATACGCGCAACTCCGACGCGTACGTGGGGTCTGTCCGTGTCAGTGTCACCTGTGCGCTGACCAACACTGCGCACCATGAAAGAAAAAAAGAGATAAAGATATAGTTGGAGTGAGTGTGACGTGTCCTTTCGTGAAACTCTCAATGCGAATTACACACTCGTGTATTTAACATACAACTCTATGTGAATGCTGTGACATGTGTTGTATACACATACATACACACATATCCCGTATATATCATTTTGTTTTCTATCTTTCTATTTGTACACGTACGCGTAGTTTTGAACTGGCCAGCTGGACACGTAGGCTTCCCGCCAAACAGATTTACAATTCGCTTTTCAACCGTATTTTATATCTCTTTTTATCTTACGTGCCAAGAGCTTTTCACTCGACCTGACCTCGTTTCTCTTCTCTTCTCTTTTCTTTTCTTTTTTTTCTTTTCTTTTTTTCTCTTCTTTTTTACTTTCCCGATATAGAAAAGCTTTCAATGGAACACGCTTTCATTGCTACCGATTTTTTTTTCTATCTTTTTTTTTCATTTTCGTTAAATAATTACACAACGTGGGAATTTAATTTTAGTAAAATGACGCAAATAATTAGACGCGTTTGATATATTTGGAAGAATAGAAATATTTTCCTTTTTTTTTGTAGTTCTCCCCTTTCCTCTCGTTCTTCTCCCTTTCCCCTGTGTGTCCCTTCATTGACAAAGTTCAGCATGTTCGAACGGCTCGTGATCCGTTTAATGTGAATGGACGTTATGCAGATGCATGGAAATGACGTCAAGCGTTCGAGGTGACGACGGGGAAGCAAATGACGTATATATAGTTCGCTTACGTTCATGCATGAGATTTCCCTATGTGTGTGTGTGTGTATGTGTGAGTATGTGCTACTTTGTGAAACATTTCCAATAGTTCGTTATACTGTCTCGATACTATATCGTGTTCTTTGTTTTTCTGTTATATTTTTTATTTACAAAAAAAGAAAAAAGTTTTCAAATAGATAGATAACGAAGTTTAAATAAAAAAAGAATAGTACAATAACGAGTATAAATAATATTAGAATAAAAATATATTAAACGAAATATAACTTGATTTCCTGTATTTTATATTTATACATAAATTTTATTTTTAAACTGTGTGTGTGTGTGTGTGGGAGGGGGG